TTAAACATTGTCTCACTATGTAGTCTTGAGCTCACGATCCTCCTGCCTCAGTCCTCCAAGTGTTGGGACTATGGGTGTGTATCACCATAGTCCCAACTTGCCAGTAACATTCTTTAATTTGAAGAAATCCCTACCCCCGCAAATCAACACTTTCATCTAGCGCAGCGGTTCTCAACCTTCTGAGTGCTCTGACCTTTTAATGCAGTTCCTCATGTTGTGGTGAACCCCAGCCATAAAATTATTTCATTGCTATTTCATACCTGCCATTTTGTTACGGTTATGAATCATTATGTAAATATCGAATATGTAATGTCAGATGTACAACTCCCAAGGGAGTCATGTCCCACGGATTGAGAACACTGAACTACAGGGTTTTTTTTCTCCAGCACTTTATGTTTTCTTTCTTTCTTTCTTTCTTTCTTTCTTTCTTTTTCAATCTTCAAATACTTGTGATCTACCACAGTGTATAACAGTGGGCTTCAACCTTCCTAATACTGCCATCCTTTGGTACAGTTACTCATGTTGTGGTGATCCCAGCCATAAAATAATTTCATTGCTACTTAATAACTGTAGTTTTGCTACCGTTGTGAATCATAATGTAATATATGATTTGCAGGACATCGCGGAGATCCCGGAGACCCACAGGTTGAGGACCACTGGAGTATAAGCTGTGATTATGCCTTGTCCATTTATTACCTTTCTGCTCCTTTGCCACACTCTTTGTTTCATTGCTTTGTGACACCGGAGCAGGACTCTGCAAACATTTCTCCTCCACCAGTGTTGTGAGGCTGGCCACTAGAGGGCGCTGGAGGGACGCTGTAAGGGAAGGGTTTTTTTGTTTGTTTGTTTTTGTTTTTGTTTTTTGTTTTTACTGGGTTCTGGTGCTTCTTGCTGGGTGCAGTAACCGTGGAGACGTGGTGGCGCACAGTCTTTGGGAAGTTGTTAGCCTCCAGAAAGTTCCATCTGGAGAGTTTCATCAGCACTTCAGTTGGAAACTTCCTAAAGCACCATTCAGTGGGCTGCAGACACACCTTTCCAGTACAGCCCACATCTCCTCCTTGAGAGGACACCATTTCAAGTTCACTCTTCCCTTGAGTAAGAACTCCTCTCTTCCGCCCTGGGAATAGTATCTTCTCCTTGCACCTTTCATTCCAGTATTCCTTAGAGATCTCTTCACCTCGCTTAGCCATTAGAATCTCCCTGTTCATAGTATCGACGTGAATATTATCCTGCTTGAACGCTGACTCATCTGAAGACAGACAGTAAATGATTAATAAGTGGGTGCGTTAGTGCGCCATCACGGGAGGTGCTTCCGCTTCCTGCTCTGGTCGATGGTACTGGTGCCCTCTGCCCTCTCAGATTTGCTCCAGAGGTCTGCGTGTCGCGCACATCCTCAAGCGATTGTAAACCCCAGCTCTCTTTTTCACTCAGCTACATAAGCACCACGTTTCCATTTTATTTGCGCTCCCTTCACAGCCTTCCTGGACTGTCTGTAGTGTCAGAGAAGGCTTGGCCCACTCTAAAACCCACGCCATTGTCCAGGCCTTAATGCAGCTGTTCCATTTTGAGAGTGTCATAGGGTTTCCTATGCATTTCCACAGGAAACCGCTGGATGCTCAGCACAGCTGGTGTCTCCGGGCCCTAAAAATCCTGTCTTTTCAACCTCACACAGAAGAAGTTATTCTACAAGAACATTCCTTTCGTCTGCTTCGAGAAGAAAGTGGTTTTGTTTGTTTGTTTGGGTAAGGCATATGGGTATGAGAATCTAACATCTTATATTTACGTATCGCTGGGCCAGACCTACACATTGTTTTCCTCTGATAGGAAAATGGTGAAATGTGAAAATCACAGTGAAGTCTATTTCTGCCTAAATTGCCTTTCTACATTCACGTCCTCAAACACTTGGACCGAGAGAATCAGTTCCTTAAACCAAATAGAGTTCCCAGCAGCAGGGAGGACCCAACCCTTCATTGAGGCTGAAAGAAAAGCAGAGCTAGGACAGGGTGAGGTTTTGCTTGTTTATGTAATAAAATGGACACCAGTGTTTAGCTGCTGTGTATGTAAATTTAGCCCGTGTGGTGCGATGAGGTAGGAGGAGGAAGCAATTTGGAAAATAACCTCCTTCCCACATCACAAACATTTGTAACCTATCAGAAGACACCCAAATTAGGTCCTGCGATATAGGATTGGATGAAACAGCCCCCGTCTGGCTTCAGGCAGCGTATGACCTTGTTTCTTGTTTTAATAACTAGAGTGTAAAGCTAACGGTGTAGCATGTCATGGTCACTGTGTCAGTCACAAAGGGGAACCAATGTTTCAGCGAGATTCCATCATTCTTTTAGCACAGTTCTCCGAAGCTTGAGGGAATGTTAACAGAGTTAGTGTGTCCGCCTGTTTTCACATCCCCAATGCCTGCAGTCATGCTGTAAATTTAGAATTGGTTTTATGTGCAATGACAAAAGGAGGTTCCCTTTGGGGCATGGGGTCAGGTTTGGGAAGAAAATTATGTCATTTTAATGGCTGTAAAAGAAATTACTGTTAGTGCCTTTGAAATGGAGATTACACAGGCGTCACAGTTCATTTGGCCTTCAGTCTCCCTACAGTGTCATGATTGCTCTGAACAACTTTTGTGGCTGGGGCGGGGGCGGGGGGAATTGCTCAGTGGTTAGAGTGTGAGGATGGGGTTTGAATCCACAGAACGTACAGCGATGCCAGATGAGTGGGATGGTCCGTTTGCAGTAATGCCAGCTGCAGAAGGTGGAGACCGGGCATCCCCCAAACAAGCCTGCTCGCAAGGCTCAGTGCATCCCATAGTTCAGGGTTGAGGAGAGACCTTGCCTCAGTGACTGAGGTGGAAATATGGTGGAGGGTGATTTCCCACGACAACCTGGGGCCTATGCACGCATGCCCCCTACACGGGGAAACACAATAACCCCCTAGGTTTGCCCACACACCCAAAACATGCACACATGCGGACCAAACATACACATACAAAAAACGAATAAAGAAAAAAAATCCTGTAGGTTTATGAAAAGTGCGGTTGGAGACACCCTTGTGCTGTTGTTTGACGGATCGCTATTGCTATGGTAGACAATACCATAATCTCCCTCTGCTTTGGATATGGGGGTTCCTCTCCCCAGCCCTTCAGCAAACAGGAGTTCCACCATTATAGGCATGGAAAGTGATGACTTCACTTCTGTTTTCCTCTTTGTAGTTGAGTATACCCCTTCAAACATGTAAAAGGCACAGAGTTGCCTTCTGAAATTTGGCTCATCAGAGGTGGGAATTTGAAACTCTGTATACAGGCTGCATTCTAGCAACAGTGGTGTTTGCCTCAGGATCGAGCCACATTGGTTAAAAAAAAAAATGTGTGTTTTAGGTAGATAAGAGGTGAGAAGATCATTTCCAGAAATTGATACTCAAAGCCCCTACTAGGTTTATAATCTTTTTCCTGGCTCCACCCATTTATGCATTTCATAGAAATGGTAAGGAACTGGGACTCTGGGGCTCAAGAAAGATTAGAGAGATAAAGCCTGTGGGATTCAGGGAGGGGACAACCTTAAGATTCAAAGTGTGGAACTTGTCAAGGAAGAGGAAGTGGCTCTGAGTCACCAGGATTCCCGGAAATACGCTGGACCTGTCCTGGAAGGCTGCAGCGGATGCTCAGGACATCTCATCATTTTGCTCCCTCTGCATCACTCATGGCTTAGAGGACACACTGGGCTTTAGAACAGATGGTGCCTGTGTCACAGGATGTCCCCTTGTCCTATTTATTCAAGAATGAGCCACACTCTGTAAACACTACAGTCAGCACAGAATCATAATTGGGCATCTTCATCTTTGGAAAGGAGAATGGTTGCTTTAAGCTAGCATTTTTCAAATTGTGGTTGTGACCCATTAAAGTTTTGGTCTGGAATTGAGCTGTGCTTGACCAGTACCTTTTAGTTTACAGAAAGGACACAATGTACCCCATACATTTTGTGAAATTGTGTTTGAACCGTGTGTATGTGTAAGGGTTTCCATGTTCTGGGTTCTGGCACGGTGTGGGAGAGTTCCAAAAAGCTTTAAAGTACCACTTAAGGCAACTTACATATTATTAATCATCATCATCATCAGGCACACATGCCATGATGTATATGTGGAGGTCAGAAGGATAGCCTTGTAGAGTGGATTCTGTCCGTTCATCTTTACATGGGCTCTGAGGATCAAACTCGGCTTGCCCGGCTCGCACAGCAAACATCATTAACCACTGGGTCTAATGGCCAGTACTTAATGCCACATTGGAAGGGGACGGAGGGACTGATTGTCGTTATAGAGTGAGTACACATCACAGCTGTCTTGTTTCTGGTTTTTGTGGTGCCGGAGTTTGAACCCAGGCCTCTAGCTTGCTGGGGATGCCCTCTCACTCAGCTATACTCCAGCCCCGACCAGTTATTTTTCTAGGTGGTCCATGATCGTGTGTACACATGTGTTCACGAATGAGTGCACACGTGTTTGTGTGTGCTTGACAGAGGCAGCACTTGAGTGAGAGCACTAACTTTGCCATACGCTAGGCAACAGAGCACTTGTTCCTGAGTCTCACACCAGAGGTCTTAAGACAAAGGTCTATGGTCTTTGGACATTCACCTAAAATTTTAACTCCTTAATTTTTCTAGTTCATAGTATCTTTGCCTAAGGAGAAGCCTGCTACCTTGTCACTAGTGGTGTGATCTCACATGCTGTGTGCAAGGGAAGAAAAGCTCCTGAGTGACAGCAGATTTCTGGATCATTCCCATTCCAGAGACCTAGAAAATTCCTCACACTGCTTGTTTCCAAACAAGGTGAAACTTTCTGCTTTTTCTCATTAGCCTACAGTGTCTCCTGTGTAACGGTAAGATGACAGTGGAACCGAAACAGCTGATTCCTCTGGGATCCCGGATGTCATCTCAGAGATGCTGGATTTCACCTCAGGGATGCCCAATGTCTTTCCACAGGGAGATGCTCAGAAACCCAGAAACGTGTTACCCATTAACACAACATTTATTAATATCTATAAGGTGCAGAGTGTAATACAGTGGGGGCTCGGAGCAAACATCCAGGCATCGTCTTCATCAGAGCCTGCTTTGTAGCCAGGGACCGTGGTTGCTTTAGGCAGTGTTCTCTGCAGAGCTGCGGACTTGGGCTCCACTGCCTTCAATGCAAAGTAGGGGCCTCGTCTTCAGTAGCAGCTGATATACCAGTTAGTGTATGTGGACACACTGCTGGCCATCAAGGGAAACGCCCAGCTCCATCCCCACTGTGTCAGAAACCGTCAAAAACCCATATGCTCCTCACAGTTTGCAAGGAGGGTTGGACACTTTGTCACAGTAAGCTTGGAATTTGAGTGCATGTGAGAGGCACGGAACAAGCAGATGGCTTCAAGACAGTTCTGGAGGAGAGCGCACAACGGAATGTTTGCTGTTCCAAACAGCACAGGGACCAGCTTGCTGCTCCCTTTCTGCAGGATCCGACAGCCTTTTTCCCCCCGATCTGAAACTAGTCCACTCCCCTAAGGCAGACACAAGGATAACGCTAAAGTCTTGGGTTTGCTTTGCCAAGAATTGTCTTCTATCGCTTTGCTGGGGGGTTATCTAACATTGGGGGGGGGGTGTTTCTAGACATACTGTTGATTCAGCAGGAACCTATGAAGTCTGAGTTTTGACCTGACCTAAAGGAATTAATCTACAGCATCTCTCTTTACAAATACACACCCAGAGAGAGGATACCTGACAGACGTCATCCCCTGGGCCCCCTATCCAGTGCCTGACACACATTGGGGCCGTAGCATCTGTTGAGCAAAGGCGCGGACTGTGACTGGGTTGGTGGTGAAGGCTACCAAGTGCATCATTGCTGTCAGTCTTGGAGTCTCAGACCCCATCTCACCCGTGGGCAGTGGTTTTTCATTTATCTTGGTCAGTGTTACAGTTGAGTTTGGGTCATATGATAAAAACTAGGACCATTCTAAACACAGTAAATCTCATCTCTATACGTCTACCGGCCAAGTCTTCAAATCTTCATACAAAGACATGGTAAGCCATACTGTATTATCCCCCAGTGAGCTGGGATTCACTAAAGCAAAACAGAATTTTATTATCTATATTATAGATTTAAAAAGTCACGAGTCATCTTGTTGTAAAAAAGCATTATTATGATTATTATGATTATTATTTTTAAACACAGGGTCTCCCTCTTTCTAACCCTGGCTGTCCTGGACCTCACTGTGTAGACCAGGCTGGCCTCAAACTCAGAGAGGTCCTGCCTCTGCCTCCTAAGTGCTAGGATTAAATGTGTGCACCGCCACACCTTTAATGTTATTGGCAGAATGTTATTATTAACCATGTTGTCAGGTAACTCAGCTCAGTCCCTCCATCAGCACTCTGAACTCTTGAGTGTCACCCTAAATATGACAGTATAGTCCTAAGGCCTTCTTTTCAGGGAATAATTGCTTTAGGTCCTTGTCAAACAAGGGAACACTGTCATCAGTTTTAATCCACAGTCACCATAGCATTGCTTTATATTTAGAAAGTACTATGTATGCATACATGTCTTGAGTGTGAGTTTGTATATGTGCATATAGAATCCCTGGAGGACATCAGGTTTTCCAGAGCTGGAGTTAGAACCAGGTCTGAGCATCATGATACAGGTGCTGGGAAATGAACCCCTGCTCTTTGCAAGAGTAGTGTGTGCTCTTAACCACACACTTAAGCCATCTCACCAGCCCCTAGATAATCTTTTTTTTTTTTAAAGCACAGATGACAAAAAAGGAAAGTCTCATGAATAAATGTAGTGTGTTAGATAACCAAGTAGCTTATACATCCTATGCGGTTATTATCATTCTTTGTGGCTGAATGCAAATCCATTTAATGCCTTAAAGCTATGTAAAATGCGGCAAAAACACAAAGTCTCACAGTATATTGAAATGTAGTATGTATGAAAGGTCTTCTCACGGCGTTTGTGTCATATGTCAGAGATGAATAGTGTTTCTGATTTGCTGGCCACTTGGGCCACGTTTACTTTAAGGAGGAGGCCTGTTTGGAGGAATAATGGAAACAGAAATGGTCTCTTGGGAAAAGCTATCGGTGAGGTTTAGCAGATTTTTTGCAGTACGGCTTCTATGCCATCTAAGTGTGCATTTTATAGGCACTGGGCCAAAGTGCCCTGAGGTCATGCCTAACTACTATGGATGCTGCCTGAATGGTCAGGGAAACCCAGGTGGTGGAGGCGAAGGAGGGTGAGGTTTGAGCAACCTTCATCTGAATAACATTCTCTGGGGCTTCCCCTGAAAGCATGGTGGGAAAGCCGGCAGCATCTGTGAGACCCGGGGCCCCTTTCAAAACACGGGACTCACACGCCAGCCAAACCAAATCAGGTCTCACATTCACACCAAATTCTCGTGATCTGTACGCATGTAGGATGTGGGGACCATCATATTGGGATCCCACAGCCCGTTTCTTGGTGGCCAAGCACACTGTGTCGTGGTCTCGCTTTCTCTTTCCTCCTCCTCCTGTCTAGCATCTCCTTTTTCAGAGGCCAGCATCCATTCTTTCTCCCTGCTCCTACACCCACTTCTCAAACCGCTGATCCCTGTGCTTGCCATTCTCAAGAAACCATTTCCAGGACTTTCCCCTGGCTGTGGAGGTCTCCTTGGTAACTTGGTGATGACTGCTGGGCTGTGGATTCATTCTGACTCCCAGCGACTGAGCCTTGCCTTCTCACTGGATGCTGAAACCTCATGCTTCCAGGCTGCCCACGGAAATGCCACCTTCCCTGTTGGTTTTAAGTTCTGTCTGTGCGTGGGGGTTCGGGGTGTGGGGGAGTGCTTGTTTCTATCATGGGATTCCTCCGGCCTCACTACCATCATTTCTTTACTAATATTTGTGGGGTGCTGCTAGGGGGAAGGGTAGTCCTGCTAGGTGCCTGGGGTACTCCAAACCAGGGCTTAGTCAGGGAAAGAGCATTTCAGACCCCTCTGGGTGCTTCATGTGGCCCCAACTCTGTATCATGACGTCCATTTTGCAGCTGGTGCCCCCCGAAGCAATTGGGTATCCAAAGTCAGACCTAAACTGGCCGGTCAGTTGTCCCCTAGAAGCAATTTGGTCTCTCTGTTCCAAACTGTGCTAGGGGTGGGGGAAGGGCTCAGCAGAAAAGTGAACTGGCTATTTAGAAGCACTGCTTGCAGAGACAGGCCCTGTGGGCTGGGGTTAGCGCAGCCAATGGCCAAGGGAACACCGTAGGGTCAACCAAAACAGGGAGCACCCAGAACAGACTCCTCTAGTCAGAAGACACCGGAAGGGGGAGAAACAGGATTGCTTTCTGGCCGTAGTGAGTCCGAGGACCGCGTTTGCAGCTTCCATTCTTCTTGAGGCCAACAAACCAGTTCTTCTCCGCATGCTTCTTGGATGTGTAAGTGTTATAATGGTTTTCTTCCAGCCTTTCCAGGAACAGGCATTCTTCATCTGGTGTCTGCTAAAGGGATAAAAACCAAGGGGGGCGGGCAGAACAGTTAGTTTGTGTGTATGTACAGGCACGCACACGCACGCACACGCAAGTACATTCACATGCCCCCTCGTGTGGTGGTCAGAAGACAGTTCGTGTGAGTCAGTTGTACTTGTGGGTCCTGGGAATCTGACTTAAGTTGTTAGGTTTAACAGTGCCACCCTCCACTGAACCATGTAGGCTGGTCATGGATTGTACCCTTAAAAATCCACGAGGCAGCTGGGTGGCGCACGCCTGTAAACCCGGCACCCAGGGAGGCAGAGGCAGGCAGAGCTCTGTGAGTTCAAGGCCAGCCTTGTCTACAAACTGAGTCCAGGACAGAGAAACCCTGTCTCTAAAGATCAAAATAAACAAACAAATAAATAAATCGCAAGGCAGCCATGAGGTGATGGCTGAGTAGGTAAAAGCACCTTTCACAAAGTCTAACGAACTGACTTGGACTGCAGGGACCCATGTGTGCACGTGGTGGAAGAGAGCCATCTTCCACTAGGTGTCATCTGACCTTCACACTTGTGCCATGACACACGTTTGCCTCTGCCCTGCCTTCCTGCCTCACGACACAATAAACAAATATATAATAAAAAGAAAGTCACATAGAGACTTGTACGTTCTGCATGTGTGAAGAGATAAAGGAGGGTATTCATGAACTGTTAACAGTTGTCGAGGGCTGGGAATATGTCCTGTGGTAGAACACTTGCCTGGCACATACGAGGTCATGCATTTAATCTCTGGCACTGTACTAACTGACGAATCATCCAGTCAAACAACTGGCCAACTGATCAAGTAACCAATCAACACTTCCCCTAGTTGCCTATGTGTATGCTGGGCTTTGTTTTGTTTTGTTTGTTTTTCTTTTTAAAGTTGTGACTTTCTCTAATCCTCTCTCTCCCTTTCTCCCTCTCGATTTTCCAGTACCGGGAATTGAACTTAAGCCTTCCCAATGCTGGGCGAGCACCCTACCAGCAGGCTATATTTCAAACCCCAAAACATGTGTTATCTTTGATCCAGCAATGTCACTTCTAGGACTTTTCCCATTGGAAGGTGGCTGAACGAACATGAAGTCCTATTTTTGAGGGTGGGTTTTGAAAGTGTTAGCTTTTGGGGCAGTACATGCCTGTGTGAAGGGCATCAGGAGAGGGGATGAAGCTCCCTGCTAACGGTAGAATCCAGTACAGCCGGAGGCTTATTGAAATAGCCCAAGCATAGTAATGATATGATTACTTGGAAGTGGTGATCAGCTGATGTTTTACCTACAGTTCCTCTATGAAGAGGCAGAGAAGCCAATGCTTTAAACTTCTACTGGACCAGATTTTGGAATACACATACTCAGTTTGGATTTAAGGCAACTATCTGAAAAGCCTTATGCCATACACTGTCCTTTTGCTGACCTGCCATGTCTGACTGTGCCTTTTCTAAGCTGTATGATCCTTGTAGACTCTCTTCACCCCCAGCTGATCTGTGACTCCCTTTCTTCTGGTTTATAATCAGACCATTTGTTGCTCCTTATGTGCGGGTATGTTTGTTTTATTGGGGTGGAAGAGCTACCAAGCTGAGAGGTGGAGGCTTGTGAGGCTTTCTGGTCTTGCACCGCCCTCTCTACTCGGAGGTTTGCACGATGGCTGCTTACTGCCTAGAGATAGGTTAACGGAATTCTTCCCTTCTTCCTGCTTGGGTAGGAGCCAGATTCCTGCTAAGCAAACAGCTTACTACCGAGTTCCACCCCAGCCCCAGAGTTAGCTTTTATTAGCAAGGAACCATGCAACAGGAAGCGTCCGGCTTTGAATTCATTTATAGTCTAGGGAAATGACACCTGGGTGAGACATTGTGGACCTCCTGGAACAGAATAGGATATAAATAATAGTGTTTAATTGAGTGACTGTGCCTCTGGAGGAACTCGGTCCAGACACCGGCACTGGGGCACGTTGCTGAGACAGAAGGAAGGAGAAGATAATGTTAGACCGTGCGGGTTGTCACGACCCAAAAGCAGGATCACCCCATGATGGCCCTAGGTGGGTTTCAAGCCTGCATGCAGTGATGAAGGTGGGGCTGGTCACGTCCCGCACCTGTCGTTCTGTGTCACACTGGTGCAGCCGGCATGCAGAGCGGCTGAGTCAGGGCTGAGTTGGTCAGCCACCTCAGAGGTTCTATCTAGTATGTACTTGCTATACGCTCGGCATCCTGCTGGGGACATGTTCCTCTGCTCATGAATCATGCCTGTTGCTGTGCTTGTTTCTATTTTTATACTTAAGCACGCTCTCCCCTCCAGTCACTTAGGTGACATACACTCATCGTAGAAAATTTGGAAACTACAGGAAGAGGAAGCCATTAGTGTATTGTAAACCCACCCGCTTACCACCCCTGTGGATAAGTATATTAATATTTTGTTATAGTGTTTCAAACTGAATTTTTAAAAATAAAATACCCTTTTTACACAGACCGCAAATCCAAATTAGAATGGATGAACACCTAAAATTTGATCAGAGTGTGAGGCTGAGCTTTTAGATAGGTTAGAATGCTTCTAGCCTAGATCTGGGCCATGATCTCTAAGACATAGTGAGGATGTGGGGCTCACAAGCTGATCGTTTGTTCAGAGACATCACCAGTGCAGTGTCTCCTAGGTACCAGAAGCTGGTGAGCAAGTTGCGTGTGCGGTCAGTCTCCTTGGACAGTCTGTATGAGGTAGGTACTGTCCGTTGCTATAGACAGGGCTCCAGTGGACAAACGACTCCTCACAGAGGCCTGAGCTTCATTTGTGAGTCTAGGGTGGAATGGTTGATCAGTTGATCGATTTGATGGCCGATTGGAAGAACTGCCTTAAAGTCCATTTTCTGTGCAGGAGCAGTCAGTGCCCAACTCCAACCACCTGACGTCACCTCCTTTGGCAGGAGTCTATCTCCTGCCCTCTAGTGGGCAGCGGGAATGCTGCGCTGTGTTCCCACCCAAGAGGCTTCTTGTGCCTGTGCGGGTTTGGCAATTTGATACCACTGAAGGCCAGCCAAGACTAAACCTGCCCTACAGACTGCCTTATCCTAGGAGTCACGTTCCCGAAAGGGGAGGATTGGGTCACAGATTCCAGGCAGGATTCTCATAAATGCTCGGATACAGAGAAGGGATCACTGAGTCCAAAAGCATTGAATGATGGTTTTACCCCTCTCTGTATAGTTCTGGGTGCAGAGATACCCAAAGGTATCAGTCGGATTGCCTCTGTTTCTTCCCCCTTCCCACTAAGACAAGCTACGCACAGTCAGACCACCACCAGACTCTGGCTCCAAGAGGGAAGGAGCAGATGGAAGGAAGCCTTTCGCTACAAAGGAACAATTAGATGCCATTTCTCCACATGGCTCATTCATCCTTATAGGCCAGTCGGCACCTACAGAGGAATGTTGAATTGAATTCCTAATTTAAAAAAAGAAACATTTTAGATGATTCTGGAACGAGAGAGAGTATCTTCAATTTTTAATGCAATTTTTTTTTAACTTTAACCTACTGTAACTTAAAAAAAAAAAAACAACACTTTTTTTTTTTAAGCATTAAGAGGCGTGGGAGATACACAGTAAACCTGGTGTTCGTTTCCAGTACCTACATTAAAAAAAAAAATTAAAAAGTCAGCCATGGTGGTGTGTGTTAGTCCCAGTATTGGACAGGGGAAGCTAGGCAGGCCCTGGGGTTTTCTGGCTAGCCAGCCTAGTCTACTCGGCAAGTTCCAGGCTAGTGAGGGACCTGTCTTTTTTTCTTTTAAGGTAGATGGCACCCGAGGTTTTGCTCTGGGGCTCCTGTACACACATGTATGCCCCTCCCCTTTGCAGGCAGGACAGTGAGAGACATACATAGTCCTCATTCAGTTCAAGGGACGTTTTTGGAGTGAACGAATAAAGTGGGATTAGGTATTCTGAAATGAGTGCCCGGCAGGCTACCAAAGTACCAATCATCCGTCCTTCCCTCTCTGCCTGTATGACAATCTGAGTATTTTGAGAGAATACCACAAGAAGCTCTTTTATGTCTGTGCCTAAAATAAGGCAGGGCAGAGGGTAGGAATCATACTGGAAAAAACAACAAAGAGACTAATTGATGGTGTTTCATTTTGCATCACTCCGTGTAACAAGACTTCTGGAAACCTCAAGCCTTGGCCGAGTCTGGAGGCGTGAGCCTCATACTTACCGAGCCGTATAAAAGCCCGTCGGAGTCCATGGCCAAGTACTGGCCAGTCTCCGTAGCCTTTATATACACCTCGCCCGCGCTTTCCGCACTCAGCTGCAGCTGAACTGGAATGAAAATAACACAAGTGAAAAAAATCAACAAACACCGCGTTTGCCAGTCTCCCTGCAGCCAGAACAGTCAGCCATGGAAATTTCTGCTTATTCGAGGCTGTGCTCCCCTCTCCCCCATGAATCAAAAACAGTAGTTTCCCCTCGTTTCTGGTCTAGAGAGAGCTATCCAAAGGAATTACATTACGGAGAAAAAGAGAGACGGGAGCTGGCTTGCCACCCATCTACGCTGTGCGTTCCTGCCCAGTTCCTCTGTCTGTCCCTGTCACTGGAAGGGAAATAATTAAATCGAGAAGTGATACTGGTTTCCCTGCTTCTGCTGCCCCAGAGTCCTTGGAGTATGGTAGAGTGGGCAGTGGCAGCTGCTTTAGCTGTCACGATGCTGGATGGGCCACACCTTTGAGGCAGAGAGGGCCATGCTGGCTGATCCTTACTGTTCTAAACCCAGAGACGGTTCATTTCCTAGAGAGTAGGGAGTTCCTGGGTGTCCAGACGCACCCGCAATGAAGGTCACTGAACTCCTCAACCTCCAGGGCATCCCAGATGGGGCCCTGACAGAGAAGACGTGCTCAGGATGGGGGAAGGAATTACCCATTAACCCATAAATACAGGGGCAAGAGTAGTGTTCTCAACTGGGGGGGGGGGCATTTTCTTCCACAAGGGATCCCTGGAAAAGCCTGGGGAATTGCCTGTGTCATCACACCTAGAGGGGATGGAGAAGGCTACTGGCCCTCGTTAGCAGAGGCCAAGCATGTGCAAGGCATCCTCCAATGCAGAGGGCAGCTTCTAGAAGTCCTGGAACTTAGGCCGAGAGATGCCATAAGACCAAAGGCAAAGATTATGAGTCACTTGAGACAGAGACCAGCATGTGCTCTGGTCCATACTACCAAAGTGCCTTGGGTTGAGCTGGACACGCATCAGAGGCTAATACCCGATGGATAATTATTATTTGGCCTCTTCACCTAGGAAGTGAGGAACGTTGATGGTTCATCTCTGGGAGCTACAATTAATTCCAGACTCCTCTGGACAATTTCTGTAGTCTCCATATGGTCACAGCTGTCATTAATGCCTCGGAGCGAGAGGTCCAGAATTAAAGTATAGAAAGTAGATCAGCAGTGGTCACGGTCCAGGCAGGGGTCAGGGTTGTTACAGGAGAAATACAGTTAAGAGGTATGTGGGGGGTTATTTCAGTTCTATTCATAATGAATAGAATTCGTGAGGCCGGGTCAGAGGGTGGCAGACTTGACAGACTTAGAGTGAGAAGTGATGCTGGTTCTCGGTGGGCCCATTTGCCCCTTTCCTACCCTGCCTCAGTACAGTGATGGGTATGCAGCATCCGTGTCTGAGATCCTGGCCCTCCCTTCCTGTACATAAGCTTCTTCCTGGGAAGTGGAAAGCGCACAGGAAGCCACTCCTAGAGATGGCGAGTGTGTGTTCTTCTAGAGAGAGCATATGCATGGACTGCAGAGTACACACGTGCTCCCCCTTACAACAGTGATGGGGAGTTCCTTTCACACAGTTCTGTACCCCCGTTGTTGAGATTTTATGTGTGTGAGTGTTTGCCCTGCATGTGTGTCTGTGGACCGCTTGTGTGCAGTACTCTTGGAGGCCAGAAGATGGAGTCAGATGCCCCGGGACTGGAGTCACAGACAGTTGTGAGCTGCCCTGTGGGTGCTGGGAATTGAATTCAGGTTCTCTGGGAGAGCACCCAGCGCTGTTAACTGCTGAGCCATCTCTCTGGCCTCTAGCTTGTTCTTTTTGCTAGCTGGCCACCTCCTGATGGATGTGCTGGTGCTTCCCCCTTGTACCTTGCTTTCTTCATCTTCCAGTTCACACATGAGGGCCGTATAGTTATGTAATCCCTAGGAGATGTACTTCTCCATCCTCGGAAGTCTGCTGTAGAGACTCAAGACTTCTTCCACCTTCCTGTGGTGAGCAGAGTCTATTGAAATCTTAGGAAGGCCAGCTGGGAGACCCTGGCTTCCATTCCTGCCAGTCTCCCTAGCTTTGGTCATCCCTGAGACAACAGGCCAAAGGATATCCAGAAGCTCTTCTCTCCAGCTCAGATCACTCACTCACTCTGCTCTACTATGTAACTTTAAGTTCTTGTGTGTGTGTGTATGTGTGTGTGTGTGCACATGTGAGTGTGATGAAAAGAGAACAATTGTGGATGTTCTTTCTCAAGGTCTATCCACCTGTTTTTTTGAGATGGGATGTCTCACTTGGCCTGGAGCTCTCTGATTGGGCCGGGCTGTGACCCAGTGAGCCTAGGGATCTGCCTGCTGCCTGTCTTCCCGAGCACTGGGGTTACAAGCGTGTATCCCTACACCCAGCCTTTTCACATGCATTCTGGAAACTGACCCTGTGTCCTCATGCTGGAATGGCAAGCATTTTCCGGGCTGAGCTGTCACCCCTCAGCTAACCCTCACCAAACTCTCTTGTGCTTAAGGATCTTTGCACAGTCTATGCCTCTGGCACCTTCTTCCTCCAGGTGTTTACAAGGCTGGCTCTCTTCCTTCAGGCCTCTGCCTAAATACCTTCCTAAAGAAGCTCTCAAGTGGCTGTGACACTGTGCCAGTGAATCCTTGGTCCTGGCTGTGCTTCTCGGGTGCCCATGCCCTCCCTTTCTCACCGACTTGCTTGTTCCTTTCATATACTCATCATGTGATTATTTTATTTTATTACTTAGAGCTTTATCCAGGAAGCAGAAAGAAAGGAAGGGAAGGACTTTTGTCTGTCTTGTCTTGACTCCTTGAGTTGCCAGTGTCTCCTGTCACACTGTACTACACACAGGGTCTAGTTGGTATCTGTTGAGTGAATGTCATCAGGCTAATGTTGACAGAGATGGTTTTGCCAAGCCATCCTCAATAAACTGTGGTGTTTGAATTGTGTTTCCAACACATTTTCTGGAATTAATGGTGTCAAGATGACAGGCATAAAGCTGGAGGCGGGACTCTGCCTTCAACTGGTGGGGTGCCATTATTCAGGCTACTTAACCCATTTGAGCCCAGTGGTAGGTATTTGGGTTCCATGTCTTCCCAGACCTGACAGTCTGTGAAGCATGTGGCCAAGAATGATAGTAGTGGTGTTCCAGGGAGCAGAATGGCACTGTGTGTCCATACAAAGGGATGCAGTTGTAGTATGTGCTATGACATAGGTGAGTCTTGGAAGCAGTCCTAGAGGACCACATGTTTTGTGATTGGAGTTGTATGAAAAGCCCAGAATAAGAAATCTATACATGGGGCTGGAGAGATGGCTCAGCAGATAAAAGCACTGGCTGCTCCTCCAGAGGTCCTGAGTTCAAGTCCCAGCAACCACATGGTGGCTCACAACCATCTGTAATGAGATCTGATGCCCCCTTCTGTCACTCAGGCATACCTGTAAATAGAGTACTCACATGTGTAAATACATAAATATTTAAAAAATCCATAAATACAATGAGTAGATTAGGGGAGCCCAATGCCCAGACAGGGAATAGGCTGGATATAGAATAATTATGCTTAGGAGCCTGGGAGATTCTTTTTTAAAAATCAAAAGTAGTAGAGATGTTTGTGTAATTCTGTGAAGAAAAATTGGAAGAGCCAGTGAGATGGGTCATCAGGGCAAAACCTGCTGTCATGTAAACCTAGTGACCTGAGTTTAATATCTGGATCCCATGGTAGATTCCTTTTTTTGAGATAAGGTTTCATGTATCTCAGGCTGGCCTCAAACTTGCTATATAGCCAAGGATGACTTTGAACTGTCAATCCTCCTGCCTCTGTTGTACTAGAATTACAGGTTTGCGACACCACATTTAGTGAGGAAGGGTTTGTTTGCTTGCTTGCTTGCTTGTTTTTAAAGCATTTAATTTGCTAGTTCTTTCTCTTGCTACAGGGCTAGGTGAGGGCAAGTTCTTTCCTCCTGTGAAATCCCATCGTGGCCTTGGAAAGGCTTCGCAGAGGTAAACAAGAGCTGTGGGCCTGCCTGGCATATGACTTCAGCCCTCGGCCAAGGATGGTATGCCGGTGAGCGTCTCGACTCAAGCGTTTCCTCTATAAATATTATTTCTCCAGGATGTCCCGCTGGGTTTCTTTCTGGCCGAGTTTCCTGCACATATATTTTTGTGAGCGGGGGCTGACCGGAAGGTACAACGAACGCCCAGCCTGCACTGCTCATGTCAGTGACTGGGTGTCCAACCCTTTGGTGGGGACCCCATTCTAGTTCTGTAGACCTCCACCCTCTCAGCTGCCGGCTACTGGGATGATCAAGGGGGGAGGAAGCGTGACTTCAGAAGAGGCAGGGGATGGCTACACGGCACGTCCTCCTTCCTCCTGCAGAAGAGGAGCAAGGATCAAAAGTAATTCAGTGCCTTATGTGCACATATCCGTGTGCGGTGAAATCTGTGCTCGGTGCCACACATGCTCCCTGCCTTCAGGGCTTGTCTACACAGGACTAGGGAGACAGACACACAAGCCTATGACTCAGCATGTCCATAACAAAGGCAGATGAAAGAGTAAAAAGTACAATTACCTATCACCTTCCTATGGTCGCTCTCTCTCACTGTCATCTCGCCCACCTTTGTTGTTCTAGAAAAAGCAGGTGATAACATACAGCAAAGAAACTGTAGGGGAATAAATGAATCCTTGCTGAAAAAAAAAAACTTTGTAAGAAGCATGAGCTTGTGTGTCTAGCTCATGAATAGATGTGGGCAAAGTTTAAAACGTAATCCTCAGCCAGGTGTGTCCAGTAGCTGCCAGGGGAGGCTGAAAAATAAACGGGGGCTGGGGACCTATAGAGGGAGGGTCTGATTCATCCTCAAGCTCTTTCTATTTCTATAAAATCATTCTGCAACTGTCTCTGGATCCTGGGTTGATGGCACTTGTTAGTCTTTGGTCTGTATCTAGTGCATGTTTTTGTATTTTAACTACATACACATGTGCTATTACAAAGTTTTCATCAAAGATTCACCCACAGCCCTTCCTGCCTTCCAGGGAGGAAATGTTTTAAAGCTCTGTTCCTAGCAGAGGACAGACCCTCAGAGTTCTCCAAGACTCTCATCCTTTCCTTTTCTTCCTTCTTTCCTTTCTTCTTTCCTCTCTCTCCTTTCTTCTTGTGTATTTACGACGTGTGTATGGAAGGGGGCTTGCATGCTATGATGTGAGTATGGAAGTCAGAAGACAACTTTGTGGAGTCAATTCTGTCTTTCCAAAACCTTTGCATGGGTTCTATAAACAAACAAACAAACAAAAAATGAATTCAGGTTTTAGACCTGCAAGCAAGCGCTTTACCCCCAAGCCATCTTACTGGCCCGGAGACTTGATTTTTGCTCTTGGTGACCTCTGAGGTGATCTGTGACTCATCTCAGGCTTGAGCACAGGTCTCCATAAAAAGTGAGTGTCCTTAGGACCCAGAGGTCTGGAGGCAGGGGAACGGGATTCAGCCCTTGCCACCAGGTGAGTCTCCAGAGCAGTGGCGCCCTCACTGGGAGGGAGAACCTGCTGTCTGTGAGCGGGAAGGACATCGGCCCTGCTGTTCCAGGTTGCTTATTATTGGGAAACAAAGCCCATGGCTAGAGGACTACTTTCTTTAACTCAGTTCTGAAATAGAGACAACAAATTTCAATTTAGCAGAACAGGGAAGAAGTTTCTGAAGGCAATCTAGTGGTCGATAGGAAATTATTTTAGAGAAATTCAGAAACTTATAAAAATTGACTTGAAGAGGGTTGGGAAAGGCTTGTGTGATAAAATTTTTTTTTTTTTTGACTGGAACTTACTATATAGCTCAGGCTGACCTGGTAGTTGCAATGATTCTCCTGCCTCGGGCTCCTGAGTACTGGAATGGCAAGGATGAAGCAGTGTCTCCAACGCTTTGGTGGATCTATGACCATAAGTGTCCTCAGTAGAACAGGGTTGTATCTCTAGGTGCTTCAAGTTTTGGTTTGTTTCTGGTTTTAGTTTTTGGTGCTGGGCATCGAACCCAGGACCACATCTGTGCTAAGCATGGATGTTAAAGCATGTTGGTTTGAGAATACCAAACATAAATATCAGCTTGAAACAGACAAAAATTGCCCTAGTGGTTTGGCTCCTGTGCTCCCTACCTACTCTTCATCCCCCTGTGGTGTCTGCATGCTTACAGCCCCTTCCTGAAGAGGAGCCCAGCTTTCCAGTGGCTCCCCCAGCCTCCGCCTGGGCACTGGCGACCTATGCCTTAGGAATAGCTGGCGTCTGTTTTCCTATCTGTGACCATAAGCTTCCTTGAGGTCCTAACAGTAGCCTGTTCATGGAGAGTCACATAATCCCTTACTTTCTAGGAGCAGAAGGAAGGGAAAAGAATCCAAGGTGGCTAGTAGTGCCAAGAGGGGTGAGCTCTGGGGCTCCCACCCCATGTCCACTCCTGTCCGGCACTAGGCATTTTTAAAGCTAAGGTGACAGCTGGTATCTTGGACTAGGAAGCCAGAGAGGAGGGCTCTGCTCGTGTGTGGCATGGCCTGCCCTTTATGCCTGCTGCCCAGGGAGAGGCCACAGAGATTACGTGCCCAGTTTATTCTGGGTTGGAGACTTCCCGTCCTCGGCTGTGTTTACTCAGAGTGAGGTCAGCATCATTCAGAACCCAGCCAGGTTGTTTTATGTCAGTGGAGTTTATAATTAAAGTGTAACCACAAACCAGGCTTTGCAAAACATTAAAGACAGAGAAGGGGGGAAAATGGACTGGAGGGGGAAAATTCCAGCGGTTTTGAGTGTGTGTGTGTGTGTGTGTGTGTGTGTGTGTGTGTGTGTGCGTGCACATAGGGAAAAAGAGTTTTTGCTAACATTTGTGAAGGTGTCTTGTCTTTTAACATGTGGAAAAAAGTCAGGGAACTTTTTATTTAGTTCAGAGACTGACTGACACATTTGTGTGTGTGTATTCATATGTATATTGTAGTTTCCCTAGAAGAATTCCTTTATAATCAAATAAGGGATCTTGGGTTAGACTCGGAGACCCAGGAGGCTGATACACCACATTGGCAATCTGAAGCATCCTGTTGGGGAGGGCATTTCTCCCTGTAGGCCTGGCCCTCTCCCTGGCGGTGGCAGCAGGGCCCAGACCTCCCCAATGTGGTTATTTGAAAAGCTGGTCTGACTTGGAGTCCAAACTGTGGGGAATAGAATGCCTTTACCATTAAACGTGGAGTCCCATCAGACCAGACAGCGGAAGTCTGGACTCCCTCCAAACAGCATACAGGGAGGGGTTTCACTGGAGTGTGGTCTGCCTGCATCCATGGAGATGCAGTAAGATCCTTTGGACCAGTAAACTCCCCTGGTGCTTTAGGATGTGGCTAGATTTATAAATATTTGATTGGCACACACTCCGCTGAAGAACATTTCCATCTGTGTGGCCAGTGGTGCCGAGGATATCCCACCCTCCCCCACCTCAAGTCTTTTTCCTGTGTCCTGGGGAGGCCTAGGGCTTGTGGGTTCCACAAGGAGGCTGGGATGCTCAGGAGTGTGCCCTTCCTTTCTTTACAGCTGCTGTTCCGGCTGTCAGTCTCATGGCAGAGTAAGTCCTGGCATGCCTTCTCCAAGAAGGAAACTGGCAGGAAGAGCAGACAGGCATAGAGCTCTATGTCTTTGCCCTGGTGGCTTCTGTGCCAGGGGAGTTAAACGGGCAGAGCTTGCTGGGCTAAGGCCTGGGCAGGGTGAGGCTCTATGCCAGGTCTCAGGAGCTCCATCTGAGACAGTCTCAGAGAAGCTGGGACATAAAGTCACTGGCAGCTCTGTGAAGAAGCTTAACATTTATTTCATGGCTAGCTATCAGATCGTTAGATGAGGAGGTCCAGTGAACATTCAGGTGACTGGAAGTGCGCTGGGCACTCTTAGAAATGTCACCTTCCACATTCCTACTTTCCATGAGGCAGACAAACTGTTAGCCTTCTTGTTTTCAAAGCAAGGAAACTGAGGCATATAGAAGAAGCATAACTGCCACAAGGAGACACGGATCTGGTAAATACAGCCCTTGTCTGTCTGCACCACATAATAGATTAGTACACCAATGTATTTAGTTTGTGAGGTGAAAGTGTGGTCTGTCATGGTGTTAGTATCGGGGAGGAGGCGATCCTCAGGGAAAGCAGGCTAGGAGTAGAATAGAGGAGATAGGCTCCACAAGCTTGCTGGGAGGCCACACCCTGTTAGCCTTAGGGTTTTCAGCACTGTGGTGACTAGTGACCTCAGAGGGTGTTGTTAGCTGGAAATGACCATCTGTGTAGGGCCTGGCATGTATCAGTGCTTGACAGGCATTTCTGGAGATGCCGTCGGGTTTAAATTTGTCTGCCAACAATACAAGTCAGTGGCTCATCCAGGTAAGGCTTACTGGCCACCAAACCTGGCGACAGGCAATACGCCGAACACCAGAGTTGCAGTGTGCAGCATCAAGAGCCAAAGCCCTTGTATTCAGGGGATCCTGCATGTGTGGGGGGGTGAGGTGGGGATGGGGATGGAGCCCAGTGAATAACCACAGAAGTAAATGCAGAAGTCCAGCTGCAAGGAGAAGTGCATACTCTGTGTCCAAAATGGGCACTCAGCTCCTTGTCTCTCAGGGCTAGCTGTCAAAAGCAATCTTTTCACATGCGGCATCCCCGAGGGCTCCAGAATCTGTGGCCCCACTGCCTGCTGGTCTGTCGTGGATACGGCAGCAGGGTAACCAGCATTACATCATGTGCGGACAGTTGCCTGCAGCTATGCCCCAAGCCTTGGTGAAGACACGGGCTCGCTCAGACTCCCCCGACCCCTTCAGGAATCGGGAAGAGACATTTTACTTTAGTCTATTTTAGGAAAGCCAGCACACAGCAACCTCTAGAAGTTGATGCCTTGGGTAAGGCACCTGGAAACTGTCTCTCCCAAGGGGAAGACAGACAAATTTGGGCAATCTCCTCATTCTGCTCACAGCACATCAGCTCGTGGAGGACAAAGAGACACTGTGAAAGGAGAGGGTTGTTTTTGTTTTTGTCTTGAGGGACTCCTGGGTACGTTTTATCTTGTGGGATTTATGATTTCCCTAAGTGTCTGGCTGGCTTTTAGGGGTGCCCTTCCTTCAGGAGGCTTTCGAGTATGGCTCTGCCTGTCCCCACAGCCTCTCATCATGCTCAGACTAATGATTAAAGACTCAAACTTTCTTTTGGCAGACTGTGTGTGTGGATCATGGCTCGCCAGGGCTTCCACTCCGCACTGCCCAAAGCTGACTCTGATTCTGGAGGCCTGAGGTTCAGAAGAGCAATGCCACCACTGGGCAGAAGAGGGCGACAGAACCACACTCAGGGAGCTCACCCTTGCCCTGGAGGCTCTCTGTGATTGGCAAAAATGAGAGACATAGAGTGAGGCTAGCACTCCCAGCATTCCACAGGGGAGGAAGCTGAGTCTCCGTGAGAGTAAAAGATGCCCAAAATTAGGCCTCTGGGGACACTGGGGAGTAGAAGGATCATCGGCTGGACAGCTTGAAGTTTCTTTCACAGAGCACTTCATGCAAATAAGAGGGAATATTAATTGTCTGGTTAGAAAGTGGCAGACCAGGACAAGAGTACCAGCATTCCAGGGCCCTGACTGCAGAGGGTGGGCGGATTGTCTGTTGTGGTTTCAACCAGTACAAGGCAGATTGCTGCCTGTTTACCTCAGGATTGACTTCTGTCCCCTTGGCCCTTGTTCTTAAGTTTCAGAGAAAGCAAACAATAAGCTCATATAACTACTTTGAATGTTGACAGGGAAGTTCTGAATTAAAGCCCTGAGTTTAGACTCCAGCCCTTTGTGGGGTGAAGAAGGGCCTTAGCATCACGTTGCAAGTCCATACACTGCAGTGGATCTGTCGAATCCAAATGGGACAGCAATATTGGCCAGCATGTTTTGAACTGCTATCCTGGGCCAGGCAGGAGCCGTGCCCAGAACACTTACTGTATTACTTCTCTCCCAAGAAACCTGTGATCAGTATTCTCTTTTTTTAATCAGAAAAATAAGGCCTGAAAGTTTGTGCCCAAGTTCATACGACAAATAGCCCAGCCTTTCTGGGGTGCACTCTTCCTTACAGCTCCCCTACTGAGCTGTTCTGGGTTCCCAGGGCTTCCGACAGCACAAGGCCTATAGCCAAACCCCATCACAAGCTGTCCCAGTGTCACACACCCAGAGACATCCAGTACTGCTCATGACAAAATGGTCACAGAGAAAGCATATGACATTTTCCCAGAAACCCAGTAATTGTAACCCCTTGTTACCGCAAAGTTGAAGGTTTCCAAGAACTAAGCAAACCTTAAGAAACATGTCACCATGATCACCTAAATTAGCTCAGAAAATTGATAAGACTGAATAGAAACACTTAAAACTCAAGAGAAATTAAAGCTTGCTCCCTGGGTTGTGTGGGTCATATACTGTGAATTATGTACCATGTCTGATACAATGAACTAAAAATCCAAGTCCCTATGTGAGGCAGGGTCTCTCTTCTATGCTCCCCTCAAACCGTGCAGCTGTTGGGTGACTTTGTTTCTGATTAGTCTTCCCTAGACCTCCTGAGTGCTGAGATTACGGATGTGTGACACCGTATCCATTTTAAATGTCGCCGATTGGGCTACAGCCTCAGCCCAAACTTGGTTATTTTGAATGTTCTTGAATCTCTAATTTTGGCTTGTTCTGGTACCTATTTTTCATGGAGTGGAAAACATGTGGGAGGCCCACTTGAAAACAAGCTATCAAAACAAACCCCCCAAATCATAATCATAGGTCGGCCCCAGCCGGAAGCCTGAGCACCTCCCCTTCTGGGAAAGGAGGGGACAAAACCTTCACCCCTTCCAGTTACATGTGTATCTGAGCATGCACGGAGGGGTGTCCTTGAAGCCATGGCACTGAGCGATGGCACCGAGTCTGCCAAGTTTGGTGCCTGCACTGGGGATAAGTGAACAAACAACGCACAAGCGACCACATCGACAGTCCGCATCCCATTTTCAAGCCGGTCCCGGAGGACCTGGCTTTCACCTGTGCCCTCTCCTGCGCCCCCTGGTTTCACTTCTTGGTTTTCTATCTAGGCCTGCAGTGTGTTTGGCTCTTGAGGATGTTTCTCCTCTGAGTGGGAATCAGATCAGACTTTGGGCTTCCCAACGACATCTAATACCCTAGTGGTGCTTAGGGAACCTCTGACTCTTGGTAGAACGCAGGCACCTAATATTGTGTGCACGTGCTCGAAGTCGTGGTCAGGCAGATTCTTTCCCCTACGCCACGCCTCCATTTATCAACGTGGTCTGAAAGCCAGACTGCTGGGAAAGCCCAGAATTGTCAGCCCGTGGCTCTGTGGCTCCCATCTCTGGCTCCAGGAGTGTCTGGAAAATGACTCTGCACAGCACAGCCAGCCAGCCACATCTGCACAGCGTCCTGCGGGAAAGCTGCATAATTTATGATGTGTTAGGCCGTGGCTGGAGGATTCTCAAATCAAGCCCAGATCAGAGGTGGAGGTATCACCTGGAGAGTCTGTTGACTTGAAATTGAGCCCATATCTTTGTGCAGGATTTCCCATTCCCGCCCATCAGCTTCTTCCCATCATGGGGTGGCCAGGCCCTTGTCTGGCTGGGGGGGTCGTGATCTTTTGTTAGTTTATAGAACCTGGGGCGGGGGAGAGTTGCAGTGATTGAACTCTGGCAAAGGTTATATTAGGTCAGCCGAGAATCCTTCCAGAAGCTAGCAATAAGTACCTAAGTGGTAGCCCTCAGTTCCCTGTCTTCCAAAGCTAGCCCTTTGGTGTAGGTGTGTTACTTTACTTCTGAATGATTTCTGCCTGCACAGAGCCTTGAAAAGTGGGTAGCCATACCCAGTTCCTGCCCTCCGCCCATGCTGGACTAGGGAGGACACAGGAAGGTGTGGGTGCTTACTGTGCTGGTCGCTCCTGTCTCTTGTCCCATCCACTGTGCCATCGGGAAGGATCCTGAGGAAGTGGCCACCGTTGCTGCAGTAGAGCAGTTTGGGCTTCTTATAGTTTCCTGGAGGCAGATTAAACCTCTCGGTCAGGGCCGTGAAGGTTGTGATCTCCCCTTCGGCCATGGCTCAGTGGCAACCCGTGTGGTACTCTTAGGGCTGAAAAAGATTAAACACACCTGTAGACTGGTCTTCCAGGAAAGGTGTGATGGACATATTCAGGAAGGGAAGGACCATGCCGGCCACCCGTGAGTGGCTGTGAGTGGCTGGTGGTAGAAAAGAAATGGTCTCTGGCTTGGGAGAGATTTTTCCAACCAATTCTCTCTTCCCAATTGGACACAACCTTGCAACAAGCTAGATTTTTTTTTTCCTCTTTCTTCTTCTTTTTTTTTAGAACTTCAATTTTAATCATTTGGCCAAGAGGAAAACCATTATGTGTTGGTCCCTCCTTCTGGTCCACACATATCCTCAAATTAAATACTGAAGCTGTACCAAAATAACACCTGGGGTCTGGCTGACCCACAGAAGCCAGGAGGCCGAGGCTGAGGTTTTGCCTGCCACCCTCACACAGTCTTGAGTAGGTACTGCCAAGCCAGTGTGGGGCAGAGGGCGCAGGTGGCCTGGGCAGTGGGTGCCATGAATCAGGGGTGCAGCAGGGGCAACAAAAGATTAAGATGTCTGGAGACCTTCTAAGTTTGCTGCAGAAAGGGAAGGAGGCAGAGAGAGGGGCTTGAAACAGTTTAAAAACACAAGCACTGCCCCCAGGACACTGTCTGAGACGACAGAACATTTTGAAGGCTGTGCCCGGCCACTGCTGGTTTCATAGTTTTCCACAGAGTCTCTTATGACCTGGGGAAGTCAGGTCTGTCCTAGTACCCAGACCTCTTTATTGTAATTGTTTTCTAGTATGAGCTGTACTTATAACAGAGCCTATCACAAAACAGTTAATAAACCTCTAACGTTATATCCATTATGTATGAAATCATGTTGGTGTAAAATATATCGATTATTGACACTGGAGAAAACAAAATCAGTGAAAGACAAAATTTAACTCATCTATTGGTCCAACCATGTAGGACAAGAAAGTTCTGTTAACTACAAAGACAGTAAAAGTTTTTTGGTTTTTGTTTGTTTGTTTTTTTGTTTTTGTTTAAAGAAGCAGGGAGCTAAGATGGGCCTCACCTGTGAATAGCTGTTAATCATACATATATACATATATATATACACATACATACATATATGTGTGTGTGTGGTCTTATAATAACAATGGTCATCATCACCAATAACATTTTCACTGGAAGATAATATTTATTAACTTAACATGAACTTTTAATGTGGATGCTAATACTTCCATTATAAAAAAAAATTAAATCAAAGCTTAGGAGAGGCTACATTGCTTGTGCAAGGTCAACAACAAGAAGCTAAGTCTCAAAATGAGTCAGTGAACAGAGTGCCCCAGTTTGCCTTAAATGCTATGAGAAGATTACAGGATTTCACAGAAGTACTGTGGCCATAAGTGCGTTTTTCACCCATTGCATCAAATGCGCACCTGCCATCATGATCCAAATACATCTATCTCCAACAACGTCCTTTGCATCTGTCCCCTGCTAACTCTGTAGCAGGGTTCCACATAGCTACTCAGGCCAGAAGAAACTCACACCAGTGGCATCCTGGACTCCCAAGACCAGTCAGAGCCCCACATTCCATGCCCTAGTGAGTCCTGCCCGAGTACTTACGGGAGTCTACTCGATTATAAACCAAAGCATCAGTTTGGATAACTTGTCTTTGTGACCAGAATTAGAGCTTGAATTGGGAGTGTCCACCTTTTTTTTTTTTTCTTCTCAGTTTTGACATTTAGTGTACCTGGTATATTCCCTGACTCTTTCATCCCACAGGCCAGTTATTGACTTCAGTTTCAGCGGCTGCTGGGGATGTGTCTGCAAGATGCACCCCCTCATTGTAAACACACATATAAACTACATTTAGAGTCAGACTGTCACAAACTCCTTAACAAAATGGTGCCACATTGTTCTTGCCACAAAATACAGTAAGAGACAGAAAGTGTTTTATATGAGCTGCAGAGGGAGGATCTACCTTGCACAGCACGTCGTGTTTTTCTTTCAAGTTCTTGATATTTTCAAAACATTGCCTTTTCACGAGAGCTTCCGGTCCCTTTGCCCCACCTCCCCCTCCTCTCTCTTCAGTTGTTCACTCACACTCCCATTCCTCACTCTACTTCTTTCTGAATCACTTTACTTCCCCCCCCCCCCCGGCTGTGAAGTGCTGGGAATGGAGTCTCCTGCATACTATTTTTTTTTCTTTTTTCCAGAAAGGGTTTCTCTGTGTAGCCTTGGCCGGAACTCACTTTGTAGACTAGGCTGGCCTCGATCTCACAGAGATCTACCTGCCTCTGCCTCCTCAGTGCTGGGATTAAAGGCATGTGCCAACACTGCCCAGCCTTTTACACTAATTTAATATGCACTGGACCACTGAGCTACACCCCAGCCTCCTGGATCCCCTTTGCTGTAAGGCAGTATAGCTCTTTGAATTCTGACTAACTTCACATGTCTCTATTAGCTTGCAGATTCCCCTTCCTTACAATGTAAATAAGAGATCATATGGTGGGTTTTTCTTTTCATTTATTTTTATCCCCAATATTTCTTAAGTTGTGTGCTTAATTTGCTCTACAGGAAATGATAACTGCACTCTAATGGCTAACATTGGTAATGCCAATCTTAGGAGAGAGGAACTTTCCTGCTGTGTCAGGGTCTGTTCCTATTTGCATTTCCTCTGATGTGGGCCAGCTACATGTCAAGGATGGCCTTCCTTCTTCAGTCCCAACCAGGAGTGCTGTTAGGTTGTTTTCAAAGTCCTAAGCATGGAGTTGTCGCTGACTTCCCGTATTTTTGCCTCCATCGGTTGGAATGAAGATGAACAAATAGGCTGGATGGGGTTGGAGGTACTAACTCTGGCTAAGGATTATACTAATGTTCTCATTTACATGTATGTATAAGCCATGCAGTCTGGATGCCATCCCCTCAGAACCTTCCTCAACTCAGCAGGTCCTCAGGAGGCCTTTTTTCTGAAACACAGAACTCAGAACTGAAGTACACACAGTTCTCTGTTCTCTGCCTGCTCCTCCTGAGAGTGGGACAGTCACAGGATGGCTACACCATTCACATGCTTCCCTCTATTAACCCTTTACTTCACCTTTGTGCCTGAATGCTGAAAGCCACATGTGAACTACTTAAATCAAGCCTGGCATCAATATGGACCTGATAGCCATGTGTGTGTGTGTGTGTGTGTGTGAGGAGGGAGTTATTTACAATTTATCTATGTTTTAAGAATTGAGAAGTCTGGGATTCTTTGGCCAATCCATTGTTTGCTAAAGGATGTGAAGAAAGGAAATATATGGCATGGCAAAGCCATAAGGCAGCAACATTAGCAGGTCCCTGGGGGTTGACACAAATTGCTCTCATAAATGAATCTATTAACCAAGTGAAATCAGGCATTAAGCATCATGTAGATTTGCAAGCCTTGCTTTTCATCACTATTGTCTGTTTTAGTGGCTATCTAGAGAGAGCATTTTCTGTGAAGAAATGGAGAGGATCAAGTCAAGGAACTCCCTTCTATCATTTTGCACCCAGCCAGCTCCGGGATTTGGGACACTGGTGAGATTTTAGAAAAGACAGATGATTTTCTTGGTTTGCCAGTGGCACAAAAGTGAGAGGAACACTAAAGCTATTGGAACGAACGTCCCTGTTAAAGCTGAACGTCCATGACAAAGTTAGTCATCTGTGGCCTCTGGACCAGACACATGAAACAATGGGAAGTTTATATCCTTGCCTGGGAACTCAGGCCATTTTCCACGTGAGATAACAATATCTACTGAACAGCTCTGGGTGTGCACAAGTGGGGTGTGAGAAGGTGGCCATGCCATCTGCTCGGGAGTTGTTTCCTCTAACGACCCCCACTCCATCTTATGGTGCAGAATCCTCTGAAGGGTTAAACAAACACAACACTCCAAAGGCACTTGGGAAGTGTAACAATGTGACCCAACCTGTTAGAGATAAGAGCACCTGGTTTTATTAAACTAGTTGAAGCCTGGTGTAATCTGGGTCAGCTTTATTTAAGATAGTTATTATTATTTTTTTTAATTCTCTTCCATATGTGGCATAAATTCTTCTTGTTAAATCTCAGAGATGATAAGGAGGAAGATGAGGGAGGAAAAGGTGAACTGGCTGGGTAAGGGAGAATTCAAGTCGTTGTTGGAGACTTACATATGGACATATGGGAAACTGGACATATGGACGATTTTGGAAGTGACTCTTGGGAATCCCGCTGTTCCCAGGAAGCATTTGTACTCAGTGTGGCCCTGGTGATTGCTGAGGGAAAAACCTTTTGGTTCTGAGAACAAAGGACAGATAAACATTGACACCTGTAGGTTTGTTTAACCCCTGCTGCTGTTTATGCAACAGAGACTATCTACATAGAACCGTATTTGCAAACTTCATCAGGCCATTGAAGATTTTTATTAACGTGGTCCTCAAGCCTACCATGTATAAAACAGGACTCAGCTCGAGTTCCGTATACTGTCCATGTCCCTATGAATGAAATCATGTAGAAGCCTCAGTACTACCTCTGAAGAGGTTAGCTCACTTTATATCTTATTTAGTCAGATGTATATGTTAAATGTTAACAGTAAGTAAAATGCATTTCAGCCAAGAGCTAGTAGGGGTGAGAAGGATAAAGTGGAGTAAGTAAAACTGCATTTATGTAAATTATCCAAAAACAAATAGAAAAATCAAAATGTTATTCAAGAGTAGATGAACAAAATCAACCCAAATATATACATAGCCACAATAAACATAAATGGACTAAGTTACTTAGTGATAGGAGCTTTAAAAATCCATGTACACATATATATTCTGATTACAAGAAACACATTTAAAATATAAAGATGCAGAATGGTTCAAGTGAAAGGGTAAAAAATAAACCAGCTTTAGTGGCATGCACACGGTGGACAAGTACAGCAAGACTCAGCCTAAAAAAAAAAAAAAAATAGAGTGACGAGGCTGCTTATGTATGGGAGAAAATCTTTGTGAGCTGACAAATTATTTGTCAGCTGACAGAAAATTAATATCTAGAATACATGGAAA